CCTATGAGACTGGACTGCATGATCTCCTGTGAGATGTACACGTTGCAGAGGAAGTTGAGCGCTTCAACCAAGGTCTAATAGAACACGTAGTCGATATATTCATGTACGGGATTGTTCGGTGGTGTTCTTATCGCGATTCTTTGCCATATCGGTGGTCGCGGGCGAACGTCATGCCAAAAATTGTGAACATCCACGAGTTTCGAGCCGTGACTACATGAGTACGGGGACGGTGTCGGGTAAACGGAAATTCGCCCTTCGCTCTGTATGGTGCCGAAAAGTTGCGACTCGCCGCAGGAGAACGTAACGCGACCGCGGAGAGTGGTTTGAGCCGAACCAGTAAAAGGCATCGTGCTCGACTCAACCGATCAACTGGCTTAGTTGATGGAGATCAAAGTTCGTACGATGAACGCTCGAAAGGGATGGGATGATGAGAGCGTTAAAGACGATAAGGCAAAGTAAAAGTACACAGAAGCATATTTGAGCAATACCGAGTGCGACGAATATCATGAGCCACATCCGAGGACAAAAAGACATCTTAGGCTCACCGTCCATTCGTTGCCCGTGCGACGGCGCCACAGTCCCACAATATTGGGCGAGGACAGAACCGTCACCGTACATACAGTCACAATAGCGTGTGAATATTCGGTGGAGGGCCCTGCGTAACGCATGGTCACATCGCAAATATGTCACATGGCCAATTCAGGACCGCGGTTTTCCCCCATGAGGCTTTCCAGGTTTAATGTCAACGTCATGACTCGTGTAGTCAGTGTCTCCAGCTCGTATTGACGCAAAAGTTCTGAAATGCACCCTTGCAGAAGGGACAAGCTAGCCTGGGCGAGAAAGGCTGAGCCCGCACGCACGTCGCGCAGCTGCTCATCCTTTCTCACCTCCCGCGTCGTTTTTGTGTCTCCCACCCTTCCCGCCCTACGGCGTTCGCACCGTTTGATTCAGTGTTACTGAATTCCCTTTTCCAAACACGGTGCGCAGGTTGGCCGCGCGTGGTCGGACGGGCCCACCGGCGCGGCGGCTCTCTCCCACATCTTCGTTATCCCTTTCACACGGTTTACTCATTTAGTTTCGCTCCTTGTCGTTACACGCCGCCTCGCCTCAGCTAGCTTGTTGTCCGGTTTCAACAGCCAGGAGTTCGAAAATTTCCTGGACTCATGTGCTGTTGTCTATAATATGTTCAAGAGCCACCTTCCACCGACCTCGCTCTTCCCCTTGAATCAAGAGATGTTTACCTTGGCGACAGCTCATATTCAGCGATCCGACTGACCAACCCAATGTTTACGAAGCCCAACGCAGACGGGATCTCGCCGCAGACACCGAGCGTAGAAATAGCCGCGGAACTCGATCATGCCGGGATTCTGAGATGGGTTCAAGGCAATGCCTTGTATCTCGATGACAACGAGATACATGTATATTGAGAAGAGAGATTGTCTGGGTGGGTACTGAGAAATGTGTCTGTTTCAAGGCATTATTGATGATTCTATTCACAGAGTATTGCACCGGACTACGCCTTGAAGTGTTAACATCGGGGACATATAGTAGAGATAGAGGTCTCGTTCTGGGCGATGAAAACTCGTAACAAAAAGTTTCGTACGGAGATCGGCCCGCGCTCGATTGCAATCTTGGACCAGACATATCAAGAAGTAACGTCTCCTGCGATAATGTCATCCAGTGCTGACCAAGGACCTCAGGAAGTGTTTATTCACAAAATGCGCTCGGACAGGCAGAACAAGATGGCTTCGACTAAGTCGACCGCAATCGGGGTTATACGCAGAAGGATTGACGAGGACTAAGGCTCTAGGGAGCAGTATATTCGGCCTTGCACGCACGAGCCTTCGATGCAACTTTGAAAACATGTGGAAGTTGGTACAATTCATTTGGAAATCACGATACTTGTTATCAGACATGAGCCTCTGGCGCGCGCGCGTCAAATTCCGTTTTCTCTGATCGGATTTAAGCACCGAGAGTCAACAGACCTTGTGTTCATCTGGCGGGTCGGCCATCATCGTCGTCCCTTGAAAGGAGAAAAAAAAAGAAGGATCCAAGGTGAATTCCAACGTCGAAGGATCGGCGATACAGATCATTTACCGACGATCAGCGCCGGCGCCACCGCGTTGCACGTCTGTCGCCCACGGGGTGAGTTCACGGTGAAGCACCGGAGAGAGAGGGAGATGGGACACTCGCGATGCCGTCTTTGACGTATCTCTGCGCGATCCAGTGCACCAGGCCGTGCATGGCGGATTTGGAGCTGGCGTAGTGCGGCCCTAACGACTCCGCCGGTGGTCAGCGCAATCACGTCAGCCGCCAGTACACGAATGGCCATCGACAAACCGATGACACCTCCCTTTCCTGAGACGCATATGAATGAGCACACTACGAAAAAAAAAAAAAAACTGATAGCAGCCGAGTTTGCTCACCGGCAGCGACGCGTAGGCCAAGAGCGTGAGCAGCGGATCACCTTCGGCGCAGACGAAGCCAGAGCTCGAACCTCGAACAGAAGATGATCCGTCCCCATTTCTGCTCTTCCATGTGCGGGATGCACAGCTGCGTCACCTATAGCGGTGTATGCGCATGAACAAGGTGGTAAGCCGAAACTCGCAGACGAGTGGCGTCTGACGCGGGGGACCTCCCCACCCTCCATACCAGATAAGCGGTCCCGGTATTCGTCCTCCACGTCCGCTCAAACTCCTCGACACTCATGTCGCCGATATCTCCCCGGGGCCCGATCCGTGTTCCTGTCATGCCGGAGTTGTTCTACAAGATGTCAGGGTGCCCGAGCTCGCGCACAACCTCGGCGTGCGCCTCGTCGTACGAGGACAGGTCGGCCTGGAACGCGGCCACTTTGACGCCCAGCGCGGCGACGAGCTTCGTGGCCTCCTCGGCGTTGCGGTGGTAGTGCACCGCGATGGAGCATCCCCGTTTGGCGAGGGCGAGGGCGGTGGCTTTGCCAATCCCTCCGCTGGGCATATGTCGATGTCATCCAAGACAAGCCAAGCCCGCAGGTGCGACAGAGGTTCGCCTGATACTTACGTGCATCCCGGAATCAAAGCCAACTTGCCCTGCAGCGGACGTTCGCTTTCCATGTTGCAGTTCGAGGCAGGAGATAAGATGCGGAATCCGGCAGCCGTTCCCAGTAAGTAAGTCGGAACTCGTCTTACGATGATGTCACAATGCTTCGGCGCGGGATAAAGTTCGGCTTGACGTGTTCCGGGTCTGGGTGGTGGGTATGTAGAATCATGTTCATTAGAGCAGAGAAATCTAACACGCAGCCACTGTCTGAGAACGCTTACCCCAGGAACCCGCAGCCCATATAGCAGGTATCGGACAACCCAACATATCACCAGCTCTCCGCATCACCTCCTCATGGCCGACTTCATAAGCAAGAGCAATTGAATGAGCCACTGGGAGGCCCGGAAGAGGGTATACACTCACCTTTCTCCAGTGAGAGTGGACCGATCTCATGGAGCTGATACACCTCCTTCTTGTACTTCTCCGCAGGCGTGAAATGTTCCGCGTCGACGAGATGGAGACAGACGAGCAGCCAGTCCATGAAACCGGCCAGACCGGACCGTTGCGGCTTATACCACGGTTTGCTCGCCCACCTGTCGTCGGGAGCGACTAGATCAGGGCGATTCGGCCTTAGCGATGCACAGGACTGACCTAGTGGGATGCATGCGCGCAACCTCGTCATGTTTCACGTCGGGAACCTCGAGAGGAACGAGCGGGAGAGGGTAGATGCGGGGAAGGAAAACGTAGCGCTGGAAGAGCATCGCACCGTTAAGCACGGCCTTCGTGATCAGATGCAAGTACCACGGCTGCGCAGGTTGCCTGACGTGAGGGAAATTACTTTGTGAGATCAGAGAGGGAGGACCGCACGTACATCATCGCGATTCTCGTGTGCTCGTTGAGCACGGTGATGACCAGACGATGCGCGAACGGTCGGAGCGGCTTCGATACGTGCATCTGCCTCTGGAGCTCGCCCATGGTCACCTCCACCACCACCAGGTTGCTATCCGCCGGAACCATGGCGCGCGCTTCGTAGTCTTCGCTCCAAGCCCGCAGCTCATCGAGCGTGGCCGGGATGGAATGGATTCCCATTCGGCGACCGATTTCCGACCAGAAAACAAAGCCGGCCTAGAAGCGCCTGCTCGATCACGTTCAATTGAGGACGGCATTGTTCATACCTGCTGCTCTAGCGGAGATAAAGGCCGCCATCCGTATCGACCCAGCCATCACTATCAACAGACGATTAGGTCTCAGGCATTCAGTTGACCGCAGTAGACTTGCTATAGGTTCCAAGACGAATAAAGATAGGGTGTAGAGGAAATCGTCATGGCTCTACATTGAAGAAAGGCCATTAGGTGCGAACTGAAAGATGAATTTCACCGGCTAACGATGTTGTATCGGTCGTGAAGCCAGTTCATCCTGGCGATGGCAATGTTCGCACGTGGGTCCAGATCTTGCTTGCTCGGCGGAGCGGGTTCATCAAGATCCCAATTGCCATGTATGGGACACGTAAGGAAGGTCACTGGGAAACGAAGGTTTCAGCGCCTAGATGCGCGGTCCCGGCAGATGGCCCCAGATGCCGTATCATACCAATCAGAATCTCCGTCTGCATGTGGTGTTCGAGTTATTTGGGTCCGCATGAGAGGTTGCAGTGGCTTACGTCGGCATACGCGGGCCATGGAGGTGGTATAGTACGTGTTGCAGACGGAGAGGAGGATGAAGAGCCAGCCCCAGCCGAAGCCAAAACGCGTCAGGAAGTGGGACGTGAACACGGCCTGTTATCGCGCGAGCGCGAAGATCAATCGTTGGCAGACTATATGAACGCGTACTAGACGTACGAAGAATATAAGCGCAGCGTTGTGGTACCAGTCGCCGTAAAACTGCTCGGCGACAAACATCTCGAGCACGGTCTTGTCGCGCGCCTCGTCGTCGTCGAGCGGGCCATCGTCGATTCCGGACACGGCGCGCCAGCCGACCTTGTACCAGTCTGGGATTGCGGGCGCAGCACCCTCAGGGAAGCCGCCAGGCGGCTCGACTTGCGAGGCTCCGGTGACGGCGCCTGGTGCGGTATTCGCTGCTGCGTCTTCGTCTGCCTGGACCTTGTCCGCATCTTCGATAATGATGGTGGGGAGGACGGTCGCGCCTCCGGTCGTGACAGGTAGTTCTGCGGCATCGTTCCTTCTCTTAGCACCCGCGTCTCTGTGCCATGCGAGCACGGATGCATGTCGTGTGCTCACCGTGCGCTCCGCCGCCGTTCTGCTCTTTACCGACCCTGGAGAGTTGCTCGCGGCCTTTCCCGGCCGCGGCGGCCTTCTGCTCAGGGCTCGCGTTGGCGTCGAAAGTATGGACGGCGACGCTGTTCTTCGCCGTGTCGTGGTTGATGATGCCGGTGACCTCGGCCTGGGCAGCGAGGGAGGCCGCCATGGCGGGCAATGTCGGGGGGTGGGTGATAGCGGTACCAGGGGCGGGCGATGCGGGTAGTGCGAGCCCGCTGTGCGTTGCGCTAGACGGGCAGTTTGGGTAGTCAAACGCAGGCTGGGCGTTACCGATGTCAATATCGGTATCGCCGTCGTCGTGCGCAGCATCCCCGGCATCGCTTGTGGAGGTCGGCAAAGTGTGCCGGCCTCTGGCGCGTCCGCTTGTGGGGACTGTTCGAGCCCGCTGGTGTTGTCTTTGCTGGCGGGTCGGTTGATATTGAGCCCGGCGTGCTCGGACACGCCGGTGTCTTGATGCTCGAAGAAGTTGGCGACGGCATACAGGAGGTGGGGAAGGGTGTCGCTGTCCGGCTAGAGGTGATGCAGGGGCAATTCCAGCACCGGAAGCGGGTGATGCGGGTGATGCGAGGCTACGAGACGCTGCACCTCACGGTGGTCTTCCTGGCCGAACGCGGGTGTTGCATGACCGATGCGGGGATAGTATCGGTATCATGTGGTGCGTGGCGTTGTCGTTGTTCGCGGGTCGTCGACCGGTCCTTGCAGGTCTGATTTGCCCTTCAGTGACATTCGTCGAAGCACGTTCGCATTTTCTGCGCCAGCAGTCTGTCCAAAATTCAGTAAATCTTGCACCCGAGAGTTGATAAGAACCTATACTAACGAGATACGACCATGTGCGGAGCGCTGACAACAGTCGAGAGCAGGGAAACCATGGTGCAGTCGCGAGCCCCTAGTGTAGCGTCAGTTCTTGCATTTCTTGAGGACAGTGAAAGGGGGTAATTGTAGGGCGCTCTCTCCATCGACACAAGTATAATTCCTAGCGGAGGTCCCTGTGGGGCATATTCCAGCCGGATACCAGGACGAGACGGGATCGTGGCCGGAGGCAAGCAAGCATTGTGTGGCCATGCGCGCGAACTCGGTCTCAACAACAAACACACTCTGGTCGCACTCAGCACATCTGAACCTGTCATACATGCCATCTACAGAGGATGCCGAGTTCTACGCTGAATATCTCGATATCCAAGTCAATCAAAGCCTGAGGAGCCTCGTCAGAGATGCGGAGCAGTATCAAATGATGGGCTCTGACCCCCTTGCCGCACAGGGAGATAGCCCCTTGGAGTACTGGGAGCAGGGCATAGGTGTGGAGGATGAAGATCCGGCGGAAGCCCAGGAAAACGTCAATAGAGAAGATACGGAGCAAGATGCCGGTATTGGTGATGTTCGTGCTGATGCACTACCCGTTGAAAACTCAGGGTATGTGTTCGACGAACATACAATAAACTGTACTAATATACCATAGACTGGCTACTGGACAGAGCAATAAGAAAAAGTGAGCCGCTAAATACCAATATTTCCTGATACCACTCACGAACGTTCATTCAGAACACACAAACACAGGCACATGAAGGCCCAAGTGATGCGAAGGAAGGCCAAGAATAAAGCTGCGGCGCGCTCCATCGATAGACTTCCACATATAGCCAAGGCCGTTATCGTGTCCAGAAAACTCTCCGACATTGATCATGTTACAACGACGGTGGACTTCATTGACACACCTACAAAGGGGGCTTGGAAGGGACATACTACTGCCCCACGTGAAGTCCCTAATATGGATGATCTGCTGAATCGGGGATTCAAACTGATTGAGTGGGACGCCTCGTATGTCACATAGTGTCATCCTGTTATTGTGTTGAATCAAGCTGATGCCATTTGTAGACGCCCCTTGGTCGTAACCGATTCCGAAGGGCGAATTATGGTTGCCTTCCATCCTGCTCCTCCTGACAAGGATGATGGCCCAGCATTCTCTGCCACTTGTGACCGCGTTGCCAAGAAGCTGTACGATCTGGGTAAGGACCCAAAGTTGCAAGCTAGGTTTGATCCGGGGAAGGATTATCACCGAAGGGGCACCTTTCCAGTACTGACCACCGGCGTCGCCATGGGTGGAGGTCAGAAAGGTCCCATGAATCTCGTCAAGGACATGGGCCAGGTTCACAGAGGAAAGGCTCTCAAAGAACTGTTAGCTGACCCAGATGTACAGCGTTTGGCAAACTTCGGAAGTAGTGAGTAAATGTGTGCACTATGCAAACTTTCCCTTGCTTATTCCATATTAGCAAACCTGCTATACACTGCGCCAAAGTTGTACAAATACTACAACGATGTCGTCTGCCGGACAGAAAAGTTTGATCCCTCTCTTCAATTTCCTTTCCCAAAGTCTGTGTTCAGCATGGCGACTTTCAACCTCGGAGGATGTGTTTTCACCGAGCGTCATTTTGATGTGTGCGACTTTGCTGGAGGGCTTTGCTCTATTCAGGCGCTTGGCAACTACAATCACAAGAAATGTGGCCATCTCGTTCTATATGAGCTCAGACTCGTCATCGAATTTCCACCGAGGTCGGAGGCCTCCATCCCATCAGCATGCGTTTCTCACTCCAACATTCCTGTGACTGAGGAAGACGAGTTCCGTGCATCCTTCACTCAATACACCTTGGGCGGACTATGCCAATGGGATGCTTGCGACCAGCGCACTATCAAGTGGATGAAGGAGAACAATCCTGATGCGCTGGCTCAGTACGAGGCAGTGGGTAAGGCAACAAGATGGGAGGAGCACGTCAAGAGGTTCAGCAAGCTGAATGAGCTCGCTAATGATATACTCTCTATCTCTAAAGGTGTGGGTGTCAAGCGGAAACGGAAGGTGTCAGACGCAACTTAGTTATGGTATCATATTCTGTGACTATATAGGTCTAAAACATGTCTCCATACAATACCCTTGCCATTGTGAGAGAATAAGACCATAGAGTGGGAATATCTGAAGAGCTTGGAAGCTGCGCTGACCACTGTGTTAGCAGTTCGTTGAAATGTCGGCTCTGTAGATCGTCTAGTATCTGATGGGGTGGGTCCACCGGTACCGAATTAAGATGTTCTGGTGGGCCACTGCGACCTAACCATGAGCCTCCATCGCCTTGATCGCGGCGAGGATTTTGGATATGATTGGCCAGGTTATCGTCCCGAAGTGCCTCCCAGTCTACGCCAAACACCTCCAACTCATCCTCAGGCATTGCTTCATCAACAGACAATAACTGGTCACCACGAACGCCATGCACATACATATCAAAAAAGAACATATCTGCAGGGGATCTGTTAGGGCCACCGCGGATTCGGATCTGATGTTGGCTCCATGATTGGGCAAAGAATGTGAGTTCCTGATTGATCCGTGGCAGGAACAAATAATGGAGGAGCCAGAGGTGATTAGAGTTATTAACGTCGAGGCCATGACGTAATTCTAGATTGTAGAAAGCTTCTGACCAAGCTGCACCAACTTGAGAAGTCACGTCCACCCACAATCTTTCGATGCGGACATTATGAACACTCCTGGTGGGAAGTTATATCAAGACCCTTTTGAAAATTTGGGCAGACACATACCGTCCCCAAATGTACGAGCCTCGTCGCTCTCCGCGATAGGCTTCCATCCATGCAGCATGCGGTATATTTTCAACTCCGTGATCTCCCCGTATCCTCGATGGAATCCCATACTGTAAGGCGGCCTCAAGAAATACATCGAGAACAGTCTGGCCACGGTTGTTATTGCTCGCTCTTAACCCTGTGATGAGGTGCGAGTATCCATCGATAAACCCATGTATCACAATTCGCCACCGGATAAGACCTTGACACAGATAAGATCGCTGGTAATTGCAGTAGATCGTGCATAGTACTTACCATGCTGACCATCATGATGCCAGAGTGCATTAGGTCCTGGAACAGAATATATTCTTCGCCGAATACGGATACGATCAAAGGTTCGGTGAATAGGATCAATGCGGCGTAACGACTCCTGTATGCGTTCTCCAGGAACTCTATGTCCTAGATTTAGCAGCATACCATTGATCATGGTAATACCTGCACGGCGGTAGCGGGTGCGAAGCTGGATAATTAGGGCATCAAGGTCCTGATCTGACAATGTAGAGACCGGGCGCGTGTAGGAAGTACTTTGATGCGGAATTTCTGTATGAGCCTCTCCTACATCGGTTGTAGCGGGGTCAAGGAGGGGGTCACCATTACTTGGGTCATTGTCCAAATTAATAGTGGGACCGACCGCTGCTGGGTTGGCAGAAGGAGTATTTTCTCTGGGTAATCTGTTCCTTAACGGAGCTTGTTGTGGTTCCACGATGCCATAGTCCAACAGTGCATTACGAACAGTTGTCCTGCTAACTCCCAGAAAGCATGCAACTGCAGCAGTGGAGCAGAGGCTATAGGCCGAACGGAGGAATTGTTCATCGATATAGATCCGTGGACGACCAGGACCCCTAGAAGCAGCCTCCTGTATAATGGTAGGATGACCATGATGGGACGCGTCCAATGTATCACGATAGTGTTCACGGATATCTCCTCTCATGCCCTCAATGCCATGCATTACCGTGCGTAACTCATCTGCGGGAAAGAGATGTGTATGCTGGGTGGGCCATCAGACTCTAGTATACAGACAAGAAAGATCAAACTCAGACCGATGATATGAGTTGAGATCATTCGTCTAGGCTATTGCCCACCTGCTCGATTCTCCGGGGATCAAGTTCGGCGGGATCTCTCTGCACGATCTCCTGAACTGCCTGGAGAAAACCACGATACCGAGATCGGAATTCTGCAAGTAGCTGTGATTCACGATGGGCATCCATCGGAGCGGCAGATAGTGACTGACAGTATAGCAATGCTCTACTGATTGGATATACGCAGTACAATCCTGACAAACCCGAATCTGAACAGTGGCTGTGTAGAGTGTAGAGCCACTTAGCCAGAAACCCAGAACCTGGGCTTGTAGATCAGTGAGCTTCAGACACGGCAAACCTACAACCAAAAACCTGCAATATAGATTAATCAGCTACTCTCGGTGATGTGTGATACACAGTAAAACTAAGTATATGTTGCTATTAAAAGGCATACAGCTACACTCAATACTTACAATCTATGACTACACGTCAACCTTGGTATTACCGGAGACCAGAAAGCTGGGACACTGATTTGCATAAAAGCCAAAACCTGAAAGCACGAAGCAGACACCAGCAGTGCATTTTAGTCGCGGAACTACCATTTCAGGCAGGTGAGTGGCTTTAGCGACCTCGGCAGTGCGTGGCGGTGCTCAGGAAGGTTCGGCAATGCATGAAACCGTGAACCTGAAAGTGCAATTATGCAACGAAAACTGAGGCCATAAAGGAGGGTACGGTGAATCTCAAAGATGAATTAATATTGTGAACTCGACACGCGCGACGTGTCACGCGCGCTTTACAGACTGGAGCTTTCCGATTACTTGCTTCGCAACGACATAGTAGCAACACTGTTCCCTTATCTTTGTGGGATACAGATACGCAAGGCTCGGATCATCGGGCGCTATAGAAGTTCAGGGGTTCGGGAAAAAAATCGCGAAGTACATCTTGATTTGGATCGTGCCAATTGTGCTCCGAGTCCTCCAATGCTTCGTATGGCACAGCGGGAAAACGCCCAACAAGCCTGCTCATACGACGATTGAGGGTCGGCCGTATCGTCAGCTTGAAATAGCATACATTAGGGAAGGTCTTGTACAGGAGGGAAATGTACACTCACTCGCTGGCGGCACACGGGACAGCTATATCTCGGCATTGTACGATCATGCATTGCCGTGGACAAGACAAGGCGTAGCACGGAGGACAACATCATATTGCGTCGAATGTCCCCGGCCACATGTTGAAGGTTTAACGGAAGAGAGAAAGCATCAGACCCTTGGAGCCGGTGAATTCGCGCTGGGTCGTAAACCGGTCGACCGCTGATCGTGCGATGCAGTTCAAGGTGTTCATTAAACCATGCGGCAACGCAGCCTCGACAGAAGGTGTGGCCGCATGCGAGGCTGAAGTAAGCGTGAGCTCACAGATTCCCTACGAAGTTGCAAGACCTACGTAACAGGATTCCGGAGGCGTTGCGCGCAAACCTGGCAATGGAGGTCGTCCTCAATCTCCGAAAGCCTCTGTTGAAGGGGTTGCAGGTGCTGACGAGCCTGCGTCAGCTCATCCCGTGCTTGTAGCAATGCATTTTGCGCGACGTCAGCACGTTCCTGAGCCTGGACATTCTCTTCCTGCGCAATGGCTGCCGCTTTCTTGGCCTCAATGGCTTCATCCTTGGCTACCTCGAGCTGGGCGCTCACGTCCTCAAAGTCTTTCAGACGGAATGACGGCGGCTGAGAACATGTCAACAAATGATCACCACCTTGAGGGCAGTCGCAGGCCAACGGAGCTCACCGCACGCACGTCGTGAGTCCGGGGGCTCGAGGTCGAAGCCGTGACGGTGGCGGAGACAGTAACTGCCTCGAAGCAAGAGCCTACAGACTGAGTAACGCATGCTGTCGTACCCTCGCGGTCAACACATCAGTCAGGGCAAGCACGCGCGGTGAGGTATCACATACCGCGTCGCCGACACCGGAACCGGAGGAGATAATAAAATGGTAGCTTTCGTCCAAGGAGGCGTTGGCCACGTCGGCCACAATGTTGTTTGGAGGGGCGGACGCCGGACCAGGGCGAAGATCGTCCTCACAAGTCGCGACGATTGACGGGCTGAGTGCGTCGACCGCGCGAGTACGAGGGCGGCGTCGGGCGCTCGGAGGGTTGCCCCTCGCTCTGTGAGGTGCCATAATGTCACCGTCCCAAGAGGTGGCGGGACCGCGGCGAGTGGTTCGAGCCGCACCACGAACCCGCAATGGGCATTGTGCTCGACTCAATCGATCAACGGGCATAGTCGATGGAGATCAAAATTCGTGCGATCAAGGCTTAGAAGGGATGGGATGATGGGAGTGTTCGACGCGATGAGCCAAAGTGAGGGTACACGGAGGCATATTTGAGCAATACTGAGTGCACAAAAGAAAGCGATGAATAACAAAAGCCACGTCCGAAGACACCGTCGATTCGTTGCCCGTGCGACAGCGCCAATCCCACGCCATCGAGGATGCTTTTCCCACACCACTTCGTCCCCACTGAGATCTAGTGGTTGTGTTTGTAACGCACATACAGGGATTGATCACAGTACAATGGCAAGCCGTCTTATTGTACTTAGCGTTTCTTATTGTGCCGCGAATGGCTCGGGGAAGGCATTTGATGAGTGACAGAATGCCGCGCTGATACCGCATTAACATCGATGTGCCCTTCCCATGTTCCTTATTGTACCGGCTGTTGTATCTGAGGGGACTTTGTCCTGCCAGCGGCAATCGCTGCGATATAGTTGCCCACAGCTCTTGGTTGAAGCAGCCATCGCTCCTGATGTGTTCGGGAGTAAACGTGCACCGTTAGAATTTTGCCAACCGTTTCTGCGTCAATGGAAGTCCCGACTCCAATTGTCTTCGCGCGGCTCTGACCAAACACGATATCGTTGCTGCCGTGTTCGGCATCCACGTTTTATTGTGGCTGGACGGTGACCGTTCTGTCATCGGCCGATGATGGGAATGTGACGTCGTGGCATAGGCAATGAATCGACGGTGAGCCTAACTTGCCTTTTTGTCTTAGAATATCGCCCTTGACACCCATCTCCGTCTATTGTGCTTTCCGTACCGCTCAAGTATGCCTCCGTGTATGCTCACTTTAGCTCATAGCGTTGAACGCCCTCACCATCTCACCATCTCAAGCGTTGATCGCAAGGATCATTTCCGTCAACTATGCCCGCTGAACGTTCGCGTCGAGCTCGATCGTCCCTGCTGGTTGGTGGCGCGGCTCGAACCACCCGCCGCGGTCGCATCACCTCTTCTGACGGTGACGTTACGGCATCTTACAGAGCAAGGGGCAGCCCTCCGATTACGCGACATCGCCCACGTACTCGGGCCTTCACGGCTCGCAGCCCGTCGATCGTCATGACTTGCGAGGATGATCTCCGCCCTGGCGTGGTGGCTGGCCCTTGTTCCGGCGACGCGGTATGCGATACGCCACCACGCGACCTTGCCTTGACTGACCTGATGACCGCCAGGGTGGATACAGCAGCCTAAGGAGACCATAGAAAGCTTGTCCACCGCCTGAGGATGCTGAAA